TCTTCCACTCTCCTCTTCCATCAGTCAGAAAGGCAATAATTTCTTTCAATGATGAATCAGTGATAGAAAAAGTGGCATATTCATCATGGAAGATGTTTCTAAGCCCATAAAATGCATTGATCCTTTCAGAGGTAAACTTGACTTGCGTACCTCTCACCAAAATGTGATCTTTCGCAGAGAATCTTAAGTTTGTGTAAAACTCCCAAACCATAGGGACGATCGCCACAGTAGTGAAGTATCATAATCGCTCCCAATTTCTAGCGCAAATCAACCTCTCAACCTCGCCTCTTGAGTTTGTAAATGCCCGCTCTTGGATCATTCTTTTGTTCTCAAATAAGGTACTACAACTGTGTTGGGCTTTAAAACTAACAAATCGTCGAGCATCAAAGTCATCGGTCGGTCTTCCTTACTTAACTTCGGGAGCCATCAGAAATTCTACAAAAATCTAAATAAATTCCAAATAAATTACTAAATCAAAAATCTAACTCCCTAAGCAAGATTATTTGGTAAGAAACTTTTCTTTTGGTAAGAAACTTTTCACCATGAGTTTCCTTCGAGCACTTTCATAAAAAATCCCATTTTTCGGATCTCCCAAAATCTATGGTGAAAATTAAAAATTTCTAAGTTAAAGTGAAGCTCTTACCAAGAGAAAATGAAATCTATGATTTTTATCCTCTGAATATTTCTCTTTAGCCCGCTTTGTAAAATTTAAGTGCATTTTAAATGACTTGACCCATTAAATTATTTTCAAATGCTTCTCTGGTCATGGTGGACCTTCCAAAATTTTCTTAGAATTTTCTAATCAATATGCTAATTTCCATGATTATTTGAAGGAAATAATGTGCAAGAACTTGAAAAATATGGATCTCTATATATGAACCTCCTATGACTTTGGAAAAATCAGAGGATGTTTCCCTTCATAGAGGCTACAACATGCCAAAATTTCAAGCCAAGGTGATGTTTCAATATGCATAGAGAATCAAATGATCTCAAACAGTGTTTAATTAATTAAAAATACTTTATGCATCAAATGGACTTGAAGTTTATTCCACATTATTTTCCTCTATTCACTGAGCAAGAGGGTATTTTTATTTTATTTTTGTGATTCTTCTACACAAAGTTATGGATTTTTGAAGTTAGGGAGTTTAAATAAATAGAAAAAGCCCTATTTTTCTACTTATCTAACACATTAAATAACACATGAATAACGCAAAAAAATATTTAAAATAACGCGAGGGAATATTCATAAACCCTCAATAACACATTAAATAACTATAAGTTATTAATAATTATAAATTATGACATTTAAATAAATTATTTTGCTCTATAACGCACTAATAACAAATAATAACACATAACACACTAATAACACATAAAAACACACATAATAACACAATTATACACTTCCTAACCTGTGGTATAACACGTGGGAAATATTCTCTGTATGTTATACCACAGTTTATAATGCAGTCTCACGTGTTATACAACCGCCCTATAACACTCTCCTAGCCCGCGGTATAACACGCATGGAATATTCCCAATATGTTATACCGCGGGCTAGGAAGTATATAATTGTGTTATTATTTGTGCTATTATGTGTTATTAGTGTGTTATTATGTGTTATTATGTGTTTTTAGTGTGCTATTGAGTGAGAAATATTCTTATACCCTCAATAACACATCAATAACACATCAACAACATGGAAAATATTCAGAATAACGCGGGGAAGATTTTTTTTGCGACGGAATATCTCTATAACGCATTGGTCAGGTCGGTTCGCGCATTTTGATTATTTTTTTCATTTTTAATGTAGGTAGGTCGGTCTTCCACGTATCAGCGCGAGACTAGACTCCACAAACAGCTCTGCATACGGAGACCTGATGTAATAATTTTTCAGAAAAGATATATATATATATATGTCCAAAAGTTAAAAAAAAAATCAATAAATAGTATGTTTTTCTTAGAATATAGCAGCGAAAACAATTTATAAAACGAATGCCATATAGGTTCCAAAAAACCTGCTTTTATGCAGACGTGTTAATTGCTTAAGAAAGATAAATTTAAAAAGAAGTATTTTATTTTCAAATCTATGCTAAAAAAATTATGTAAAAATATATTTAAAATAAAATTGAGAATACTCTATAATTTGATGAAGATAGTTTGTGAATCGGACGTAAAACACATTTAGGTAAATTAATCAAATACAATAAGATATATTTTAATTTATCAAAATTTTGCCAAAATAAAAAAAAGCGAAAAAACAAAGAATTAGCCGGACATATTCAACTATAAAAATTCATAAAAAATTAGTAAATATAATACAAACATACACGACTCATTAAATCCATTTATCAAATCATTATATATTCACCCAAATACCATATGAGCTGTTATCATACTTTGACCCATGATTATATAATCATAGATATATAATAGAAAGAATACACAATAAATAGAAATTTAGCTATATAATTAACAGCAATAAATTTGTTTACATGGATTGGTGAGTTTGCATTCATTAGCAAACGTCTTCTATGGAAGAAGAGCAATAGTAAAGTACAACGTTCTTAAATTGATCGACAATCAGCTTCAAAATGTTTGGTCATCTCATAATCTATCGGATTGGCAATAATTTTGCTGACGCATATATTATCACCACGTAAAGGAGTCAGACTTTATTGAGAAAAATCAAAGTCGAATAGAAATCCATGTAGGCAGATAATTTCTGAACATACTACAGACATTGCACGATGTTTAGATTATGTAAATGATTCAGGCTTCCTTTGAAGGAGGAAAAGCTCCATTGAAAGTCCCGCGGCGGAACGGGTGGTAAAAAATTACGGTTCTAGAAAAATAATTTCGAGAGACGTCGGAAAACACTGCCTCACCAAACAAATAAGAATCTGTGTGTCGGCGTTCACAGCAACTGAATTGAGCGTTAATGACTTCTCGAACGAAGCCTTAGACATACAAGACAATTAACTATGTGGAAAAAACAAACCACAGCTTGGTGCCCAATAAGATATCGAATAATTCGACAAACAACCAAGAGTAAGTGATGAGGATTTTAGATAAATTGACTACTTTGCTAAATTGCGAAGGAAATATCCATGATGATCAAATAGTTAGACTAACTACCAAATGGCTGCATGTGGAAGGATCATAGAGAAGATCTCATTCTTCACTATGATACTTTGCATTTACTTCAAACATAGTGCATGTAGAAGTATTTTGAAAACCTGTCAAAGTAAAATATAGTAAAGAAATTTATGCGTACTTCTAAACTTAAGAATTCAGGACCCCAAGGTTCTTTACATGAAATGTGATCTAAGGATGTTGAAAATAACTAATTCTTTACATGAAATGTGATCTAAGGATGTTGAAAATAACTAATTGCAGTCAATATCCCAATAATATTCTCAATATAAACTAGAAGAATGACAATTTACACTTAATGTCTTATAGAAAAACTAATTATAAAGTATATTTATTATGTGTTGATAGAGTTGACCAAAATTTATCAAATCATAAACTTATATAGGCAAAGAGATATATACCCCAGCAAAATGTTTTATGTAGATTTCTTTTGTGAGATTATCATAAAGAAAGATATTTTTCACCTCAATCTGGTGAAACAACCATTCATGTGAACAAAAATTAAGATATTCATTTATACTGTAATCATTTTTTCCATAGTAACAAATGTTCATAATTAATTTCACATTTAGGCTTGTTACCAAGGAAAAAAAAATAGTATTTTGGAGCGATTCAAAGAACAACCAAAGTGAAATTTGACTAAATAAACCCATTTGCATATCATTGCTTTAACATTTAGTGAACAATGAACAATGACCAATTGGCCCAAGCTCACATGGAGAATTTGACTCAAGAGCCTAGTAGAATTGAATGCTTTCTTTCATACACAAATCAAAAAATAATTTTCCAGCAGAAGCTTAACATAAGTAGATTAAAAAAAAAAAATTAATGCTTAAGAAACACAACATAACGAGAGATTAGAATATTTTGGCGCTTGGATCATAACATATAGCCTTTATTAAACGTGCAGTAATCCATAAATGAGCATTTTAACATATTGAGCTAAAATTAATGACATTCATATGCTAGTAGATGAATAAAACAGACAATCAAATGATTATAAATCATTACAATTCAAATGTTTATGAAAGAAATGATAATAAACATAGTCAAGTTTTAAGTTACAAGTGGATAATCAACTAATTAAATACACCATTGTGTTTAATGCTTTAATACAAAATATAGATGGAACTGAAGTATCAAGCAGAAAGATTTTTACAAGATCGAGGCGGAGGTGCTTTTATTTGTTCCACACACCATTTTATTGGGTTGTCTACAAAAATGATTCAGAAAAAATAATTTCATTGTTTTGATAATAATAACAGCAACAACAAAGCCTTAATCCCACTACGTGTGGTCGGCTACATGAATCATTTTTCTCCATTGCGTCCTATTTAGTGTCATATTTTCATTTAGTTCGAATAAATTAAGATCATTTCATATAATAAAATCATGGCAAGAATATTTTTTATCATTGTTTTGATAAAAATCAATAAATTCAAGCAACATATATTAGCCACATAATCATATTTCAATATTTTGATGCAGCATAAAAATTGAGTGTCGACATAAGTGACAAATTTTTGAAAGGTAGAAAATTGTTCAACTTACAATGATGAAACTGAATCCAAGTTCGCTTATTATAATCATCAATGAAAACTATAAGATATTTGTAATTTACATGTGATATAATAGAAGTGATACCACATATATCACCATGGATCAAAATAATTTTCACCATGACTACCATGTGATGGAAAAGAAGTCGCTTACATTTTCCAAATTTGAATGTTGAGCAATCATGTAAAATTGGAGAAATAAATTGATCTTTCTTTTCCAATAAAATAGAGTTTATTAAGTGAGATTAAATAAAAGAGCTTGGACCAGTTCTTGTGTGCCATAGATCATTACTTTGATTTAGCAATGCATAAAATAATGAAATCAACATGGACAAAGATAAATGCCAGAAAATAATTGCTTAACTTTAGGTCTCTTCATGAGTGTTTTTTTCCATGTCCTCATCCTGCGTGGTACAACCATCACATAAAATTGACCATTACAATTAGTGTCAATTAATTTTTCTACTGTGATGAAAATAGTTAAGAATATAAAAAATATGATAACATCTTTCACTAAATAATTAATATCTCCAATAGCTTTGATAGGTGAAAACTATAGTAACCAAAATAGATGATCATCTATGATCAGATATTTTGAAGAAGACATGAAATATCAATTATAAATTACGATAAAGAGAGAAATGTATCGATACCTTGAAAACCTAAATTAGATAAGGCTTTAATTATCATTGTTGCACCAATCAAGGAGTAATCTCCTATTTGATACATGACTGACAAACCAACAAATTGTTTATTAATTGTTGTTTGTGTAGAATTTGATAGTCCATTTTCAGACAATTCCGATTATTTAAATTCACGTCGACTTCTTTGAATAATTAAAAAATTGTTTTGCACATTTTGTAGCAATACTTCCATAATTCTTACAAATGTAATATTTGCTGCAAGTCTTTTCCTTTATTATTCTCATAAGTTGCATGTGTAACTTCGTTCTCATATGCTTGATGTTGAAACATGAGTAATGTCGGAAGCTATTGCTCCTTATGAAATAATTCTCTAAAGAACATCAACAAATTCAACAATTTGAAATGAACCGCCTCCTTTAGGATGAATTTTCATTAAGTATAAATATCTTTTTCTCTATTATTGAACCTCTTGATTAGCTAAGATCATTGACACTGCTAAAACTGATGTATAAATGGCATCCTAACATGTCTAAAAATACCTGCAAAACGAGATGGTGCTCAACAACTGCCGCACAATCATAACGCCTTGATAAGTTAGAGGATCTGCTTCATAATCTATGACCTACCCACAGGAAGCTAGTTACTTCATCACCAGTAATCAGCACAAGAGCATATCCCACCCTCAAAACAATGAAATCGATTCATATCTCTGACAATAAGTTCACGCCCTACAACCTTCGATATTAATTTAAATGAGGTGTGACAATCTGAGCAGAACCGTAGATTCTTAATGATCCGAATTGAACTTCCTTGCTGCAAGCTTACAAGTCCAAAAGCTAAAGCCAGCCGCTCGCTATGCAGCCATACCAACCTTTTCTTAAGTTCGTCCCCAACATCATGCAATACCACATTAAAATCAGGAACATATCCTGCTTTCCTGATCTTTCTATTCAACCACTCCAGCATTGCACTAATCACCCTCATATCTGGGTGGGTCATATCTCCGGAGGTGAATGAATGGACCTCACCCTGCTTCTCAATCCAGCTGATCCCCGGTTCCTTCTTTACCTGTTTATTCCTCATGTAGTTTCTAATAAGGCTAACATTGTCCCATCTTCCTGCAGAAGCATACAAATTGGACAGCATCACACAAGTCAGCTCATCTCGAGGTTCAATCTCAAGAACCTTTTCAGCACAAACCTTTCCTATATCAACATTCTTGTGTATCAAACAAGCTCCCAACAATGCACGCCATACCATCACACAAGGTTGCAATGGAATCTCTTTGATAAGTTTCATGGCCTCATCAAATTGTCCTGAACGTCCAAAAAGCTTAACCATGCAGGTATAATGCTCCATGCTAGGCTGAATACAATAATCTTCGGTCATAGAACTGAACAAAGATCGACCCTCATCCAGCAAACCCATATTACTACATGCAGAGAGCAGGCCAACAAAAGTCACCGCATTGGCTTTGATCCCCTCCTCTTCAGTCATCTTTCTGAAAAGAGATAAAGCATCAGTACTAAGACCATGAATAGCAAAACCAGATATTAGTGCATTCCAGGATATCACATCATGCTCTTTCATGAGACCAAAAACCTTGCAAGCAAATCTAATGTTACCACATTTAGAATATGAATCAATAAGAGAATTGTTGACAACATTATCATCTTTGAATGGAGTTTTCATAACCAGAGCATGAATTTGACCAACCAGCTCAAAGGCTGCGCTGCTTGCACAAGCTCGTAGAGCACTGGAGTATGTTACTTGAGTTGCTGGAATTCCAAATTCCCGCATCCGCATAAACAGCCTTAGACCTTCATCTCCAAGATCTAACTTTACATAGCCAACAATAACTGTATTCCAACTCACATCATTTTTATCATAAAATCCATAGAAAATCTTGTTCAAACCCTCCAAATAATTGCATTTTGCATAGACATCCATAAGAGCATTTGCCACAAAGATCTCTGACACAAAGCCAATCTTCATCACATGGCAATGGACTTGGCCACCCAAGTACAAGTCCCCTATATTAGCACATGCTTGCAGAACACTGGAAAAGCTATATTCATTTGGAGCCACTGAGGATTTAACCATTCTCTGGAAAAGATCTAAAGCCTCTGAATTCTTATTACTCTGTGCGTATCGTGCAATCATAAAGCTCCATAAAATCACATCACAATCAGGAACCATATTGAAAGCCAAACGAGCATCCACAATATCTCCACATTTTGCATACATGTCAAGCAAAGCACCACCCACATACTCATCAGATTCATACATTGATTTCACCGAACAACCATGAATGGATTTGCCCAGCTCCAATGAAGACAACGAAACAGATACTTTGAGCAAACTAGTAAGAGTATAGTTGTTTGGCTTGAAGCCTGCTTTCATCATCTCAGAGAAGAGAAGCAAGGCCTCATATGGACATTCATTTTCAGAAAAGCAAGACACCATCCCAGTCCAAACAACAATGTCCTTCTCTGTTGAATCAAATACCCATTGTGCATCATTTACAAGTCCACAATATGAGTAGACCTCAATCAGGGAAGCCCCCACAAAAGAGTTGTTATCATGGCCAAGCTTGCAGATGCTAGCATGCAGGCAATGTCCAACCTCTGGTAAATCCATCATTAGAAACAGCTTAAGAGCAGTTGTGAAGACAAAGTGGTTAAGCTCATGGCCTTCTCTATAGAGCCTGAGAAGAAGCACAGTGGCCTCGGAGAAATGGCCACAGTTGGCATAGCCCTGCATTAGATTGACAAAAGAAACCATATTTCTACAAGGCATTTCATCAAACAGCCTATGGGCACAGGAAGCAAGATCAAATATAACGTAAAAATTGAGGAGAATATTCCAACAGAACAAATCTAAGCAGCCGCCTTTCTTTAGAACGTGACAATGGATGGCCTTTCCTCTGTACTGTTCTCCTCCGGCAATGCAAAATTTCAACGCTCGGGCGTAAGCATAAGAATCGAGCTCCAGAAAAGCACTCTCTTCTTCCACAACCATAAGCTGAGCGGCGTTGGCTGCAAAACTGCGCCGAGGTAAGAACCCAAAGTGCGGCTTGAAGCGTCGAGTTGCAGATAAAAGGGAGCATTTTGCGGATCTCAGAAACCCAATGACCATATTCGATGCTAATTGAATGAGGAGAGGAAGGCGAGGCCTCCACCATCTCTAAGGAACTCTCTCTCACTGTTGCTTGCTAGGCCAACATCTTCTACTTCATCCGATAACAGCATTTGATTCGTAGAGATTTATTTGGTTATGAGCCGCAATGAAGGCTTTCGAGATATTTCATTGGGGAATTCGTCTTAGGATCTCTCCGAAGATATGCATGAGATTCCATGTACGTGATTGAGTGCTCCAAAGTATTAAGCAAAATGATGCTCCGCCGACAAGTTCATGATTCCATTCGGGCTCCATGCGCAGGCTAGCGCTTGGTTGGAGTTAAGGGGAATTTGGCTCAAAGGTATCCGATTGCTCGAAATTTTATTCTGATTCTGGATTGGATTGAGCTGAGTGAATGAGCAGAATTATTTGCTTAAATTATGAATAAAATTTATTTCCAGCCGATATTAAGCCATACCTGAATCACCTCAAAACTCCCTTGACATCAACCTAAAAGTTTATTTATTTTTATATGTAAAAATTTATTTAATATGCTAAATCACAATAAAAAATAGAATGTAAGAAATAAGAGAGAGATAGTAAGAGGATTGAACAACAACAAACACTAATAAATCTCTATCGCTCAAAATAATCTTCTTATTTATATCTTGATGGTACAAAATAGTGATATTATATTTATGCCGCTGCTTTAATGGTGGTTGCAGAGGATAATCTAGGTATTTTACAGATATGAGGTTATTGCTTGGTTGGTCTTGGACTTATTTGGCTCCGACTTAGTAAGGCCAATTTGGTCGGGTATGCTGAGTCGATGTAGCCGATCGGCTGACCTCGATTTGTTTCGAGTCGATAGGACTAATTCGATCAGCTAAGTTTTGCCAATGGCTTGATCTAGTCTAGCTGTCGACCCACAATTACGAGACGATGAGCTCTTTTCAACAAAGCAAGATTAGGCTATAAGGCAGAGGGTAAACCGTCATAAACTTTTATGTAGCCCATTCATCAACGATGGGAGCTTGTGGGATGATCATAAAGCTAAATTACATTTTTTTTTTATTCTTAGTCCTCAATGAGAAGCCTTGGAGGCGTCCATGGGACTATTGGTGATATTGAACTACTGAATTCTTTCATCGAGTTGGATCTACTAGAAGATAGGTCCATGCCCTCACTCAGCTTTTCTGTAGTTGTTAGCTTGGATGCTTATGTGTTTTACTTTTGTCCAAATAGTTCAGACTCAGATCATTCAATCATTTTTTTTGTCCCTCTCTAGACTCAGTGGGCCTTCAACCTCATCTCGAACGACTACATCCAATCGAAAAAGTGGGCATTTGGGTCTTCTATCAGTGGGCCCTCCTTTGTTGTGTTTCATCTCTCCTGGGTTGTTGGACCTTTTTAGCATCTACATTGGCACATTTTTATGTACATATTTTAGTTCTCTCATTCTCTTAAGTCTTGAAATTGACATTCTGATAAGAATAAAAGAATTAAATGCAAAGAGTAGATATCATTTATTTCTTCATCAGTGTTTCAATAATAGAACTCTATGGATTTCCACTCCCTTGATTCATATAAATAAGGGGTGTCGGGGCTCTTTTGACATTCCATATTGGCTCTGGATCTCTTAATCTAAAACGGTTAACTTCCAAGCACATTAATGGAGAGTGACTCGAATCCTCTAGATGAGAAATGCTTCTAGCCACCTTTAGAAAGCCAAAGGGGTGACACCATCCGTAAGGTGAGAAGAAGAAGATGAAGAAGAAGAAAGCCACTGCTAAGAAGAGAAAAGTAGATGAGCTATTGGATCATGTTGAGTTATCCAACTCATATTTTAGTCTTTAGAAGAGGAAGAATTGGGCGGATGATAAAGGCAGATTGAGCAGCCCGACTGATGGTCTGTCAGTTCAAGCTTATGTCATGACTCGAGATTAGCCAAGTGATCAAACCATGCTAAGCTATTGGTGATTTTTCATTGCCCCAGAAGTAGGTGACCGTGGGTGCTCTGTCACTTATAGGGATTGAGTTGGATCAACTCATTGGTATGGGAAGCCTCGACCTTGGCTGTTACATTTTAACTTCTTTCTATCTCCTCTACCTTATATTTATTCATGGTGCAGCTAATTTGATCGACCTAGGAGATGAATCACCTCTAGCATACATTGGTGAGGATCTGATGGTGGAGCCAGTGGTGGCAACTCAAACGCCAGTTGGGAGTGAGGATGGCGGAGTCTACCGTTCGGATGGTCCTCACAAGGCTCATATGAAAATATTTAATGGATGTCAAATGCCTCCAAAACCATTGGGCCAATGACTGGACGAGATTGGGAATTCCTTCACTCTATTATTTGGGATCCAACGAGTTGCAAAGATGCACGAGGTGTTAGTTAGCAAGGAGAAGATGAAGGAGTAAATGACAGCCCTTTGTCTGGAGCTATTGAAAGCCAAGGAAAATTCTGTCATCCAATAGGCTAAAGTTGAGATGGATTAGATGAACCACTTTAAGTTTGGGGGACAAATTTTCTATTGAGACTACTTGGGTAGGGACTTGTTCTAGCTGAGGCAGCTGATGATCATCTTGCAAAATATTACCTCTCGTATTAATTTTTTAGTGTAATTTACAATGCCCAGTTTTGTAATAAAATTTGTTTTTACTTCTCGAATCCTATATTCATGTGATATTTGTGTCAGTACATTTTTGAAATTATTGTCGGGTTATGTTTTTAATCATGCATGATGATTCCACTTCTCGCATTACATTATATATAAGAGAGCTGGGTTGGATTAACGTTACGTTTTAGTGCCCTTTTCTCTTTGTTGATCTTTCCTCTCTTAGCTTTTTGTTCTTCCGCTTTTTGTGCTTCATTTGGATGACTCCAATTTAGTATTCTATAAATCTTCAAGTATTTTGTTGCGACCTAAAGGTGATGACACCAGAGGAGGTGGCCTGACTACCAAGGGACTTGTGTCTTCGATCCTTTCATAATGCTTTAAGCCATTGGTGGGAACGATCGAGCAATGAGCCAAATCATAAAATATCTCATCTTTTACCAAGACCTATTAAGATTTAGTTTAAGGGTGCTTTTTCGTCGAGAACTGCAAACCATGTTCAATCATTATGGGGTCATCTTAGCTAAGATTCTATCAAACTCCTTCGCTGTCATCATACGTTACCTTCTGCTTTCAAACAAAGGTTAAATGGTCAAATGAGATTCTTACCTACATATTCTTATTCCATGTTGTTCAAAAGGGTTATGTAAACTTTACCTCGCTCAACAAGTTCCAATTGTTGGGCTTGCAAACTAGATGTTGCGCTTCTTTCTCTGCTCTTCTTCTAAGGTTTAAGACATCCAGAAAATCTTATCGGGAGGCATGGTCAAGAAGAAAAAGATGGTGCTTCATCGAAGGTTGAAGGAGTGGAAATTGAATGATGATAGCTTTCAGTCTACTAATACCTCGATCTGTTGTTTTTAATCGGGTATTACAACTGGAGAAATATGATTGGATAAACAAAAGAACATTGGGCATACTTGGACACCCAAGAAACTAAACGGGAGGCGAGGCTTGTCGCTTGAGCCGATAAGAAAAAAGCTCTAGTAGCTGCTTGAGAGAAGCTTGCCCACCCTGAAGTTGCTAAGGTGGTGAGCAAAGAGGTGATAGTGGTGGCCCGTGCTATATAAAATTTTGGAGGTGCATACCATGTTTATTCCATATCTTAGTATTTCATTGTAATCCAAAGCATTTTCATTTGTAAATTAATTCTTATCATGAGGAAAGCTTCTTTAATCTTGAATAAATGCTCTTTATTAGTTGCAATTCCCTTAGATGTGCGACACCAAGAAACTTAGTGGATATCAAGCCGAATTGAAGAGAGCGACTTCGAATGGAACCATAGAAGAAAAACTAGATGCGGGATCAGTTATCCCTTCATTAGCCACTACAACTTTTATTGAGTTGTCTTTCAGGGGTGAAATAAACAGACCCTCTCCTGTAATCCCATCTACATCTGAGCCCGAGCCAACTACACAACAAGAATAAATGTTCTATTGGAAGGGAAAAGCTCAAACTACTGGTCTGAGTGCCCTCGCCCCCTCCCCCTCCCCAAAAGAAGTAAAAAGACCCCACTTGCATGGATTCATATGTAAGAGAAGAGAACAAAGGTGTGCACTAGCTTAAACAAGCAATTTGCACGAATCAATCTGAGGAGGGATTGGTATTCATATTCCTTTATCACGACTATGTACCTTATGTCGATTGACGAAGTCTTATGGTCTCGTGATTTTAAGGAATTCCTTTATGAGAAAATCCTCTCAGGTCTATGTCAAATAGTCTACAGGTATCAGTTGACAACCTAGGACACTTCACATTTTCCAGCATTGCTCTTCTTGGCGTCAGGAAATAATTTGTCCAAGGCTAAGGAGAGGGATGATGCCACAGAGGAATGGGCTAACGAAACTACTAAGCAATTTGTAGCAGCCAAGAAGCAGGCAAGGAAGCTGAAGTTGAGATGCTCTAACTGTCAGAGTATTTTTTAGTTGACCTGTGAGAAAATCAAGCCTTAATGGAAAATATGGAGAAAATGAAGACAGAAGCAGAGTTCTTTAATAAGCTTCTTTCCCACCCTCGGCAGATAAAGACCCTCATTGTGCAGCTTCGACTTGGAACTTCTCTGGCAATCAACCAAAATATAAAGTCAGAGCTCATCTCCTTCGAGTGAGTTGATCTGAACAAACTCGTTGCACTTTTCTCAGGCTTGGAGGAGGAGGGTGAACATGAGGATGAGAGTGCTAAAGATGATGGAGAATCTTCAAATGTTTGACTTGATTTTGGCATTGATTGTGACTTAGAGAAAGTTTTTCTTTTTCTTTTTTTTCTTCTTCAACACTTAGAAAGAAAAGCATGTGAAATTATTTGTAAGGAAATTCTTTGTAAGTATTCAACCATAAAATGAAGCAAAGTTTTTGGTCTGTTTTTACCATTTTCTCTTGCATTTTACCTTTACCTTATTTTTTTGCTGGTGATGATTGTTGCCTTAATTTTTTTCTTTAAATGTATTTAGTTGATTTTGTTGGGTACCACCTGGCTCAAGCCTTACACTTCCCATATCGCAGTCGCTCGATTAGCTTATTGCCTTGTACGGGCTACACCTTATGCCAGACGTATTAAGTAAATCTTATAGCAACCTTTGCGGGAGTAAATATTGATACTTTTTACTGGGGTGATTTATGCACTACTCACAACAAATATCCTTAATGGGCGAGAAATCACCTCCATATCCTAACCCATTTCAAGCTAGAAGACATATGCTATTATTAATGCTTAGGCTTTTTGAGTTAATTCTTGTGTAATTTACCGATCATATGTTAATCGTAATTGTCAATCAAATTTAGATG